GTCGTGTACAGGTCACATACAAACACAGACAGTGTGGAAAAAATAAAAGCACATGAAAGCAACATTTTCATGAAATCAGACTCCATTTGTGATACTTGTATTGGTCTGCATTTTTCATGCAATACCACTTTAATATGATTCAGTATAGTTGTTTTTATTGGTTTCACACACAAAGGGAATGCTTCAGCATGCAGAAATAATTTTGTCTTTCTGCTATTGGCCTCACTGTTCACTTTTTATCTGAGTTACTCTGTCCTAGCTTTATCTTTTAAAGAACATATGGCAATAGTTCAGAGTAAGACTGCGGTAATAAACACTACAAAAGGCAAGATTTCAGAAGAAAACTGAAGCGTACTTGTTTACAATGAAGACTGTACGTGCTGGCTGTTAAAAGGTTGAAATGTCTTCAAATGTAAAACTAAACCCATTATTTGAGAAGTAAAAAAAGTGACTGGCTTAACTGTGAGTGAAGTGTTTTTTTCTTGTTGGCTGAGATGTCTGTGTCCTCTGTCCTCCAGGTTCTTCCTCAGTGACTATCAGAAGAGACTATTTGAGAAACTTTCTCTTTACTGTGACCAATATGCAGCGCAAATTCCTGTCACCTTCGTCCTGGGTAGGTCTTACTCTTTACTGCCTATCACCCCAGAGACCAGGAGATCGCAGCCATTCTCAAACCTTCATAAGAATCATCTTTTCCTAACCACAATGTAGTGGCAGTGCACAGACAGCACGGATAGAAATTCAAGGATTCAAAGATTTGTTTGTCATTTACACAAGGAATATGTGTTGCGAAATGCAACATGGTGTGCATCTATCGTGCTAAAGGGCACTGCTTCATTCCTGCCATGCATCGGCCAGCTCCAGCCACACCAGTAGGTTTGCTGGTGACAACAGTACGGTGCACCCACAGGACCCTCAGCATTGTGAAGGAGCCCTCCCACCCCAGCCACAGCCTCTCCACCCTCTTACCTTAATACAGTGCCTTGCGAAAGTATTCGGCCCCCTTGAACTTTGCGACCTTTTGCCACATTTCAGGCTTCAAACATAAAGATATAAAACTGTAATTTTTTGCGAAGAATCAACAACAAGTGGGACACAACCATGAAGTGGAACGAAATTTATTGGATATGTCAAACTTTTTTAACAAATAAAAAACTGAAAAATTGGGCGTGCAAAATTATTCAGCCCCCTTAAGTTAATACTTTGTAGCGCCACCTTTTGCTGCGATTACAGCTGTAAGTCACTTGGGGTATGTCTCTATCAGTTTTGCACATCGAGAGACGGAAATTTTTGCCCATTCCTCCTTGCAAAACAGCTCGAGCTCAGTGAGGTTGGATAGAGAGCGTTTGTGAACAGCAGTTTTCAGTTCTTTCCACAGATTCTCGATTGGATTCAGGTCTGGACTTTGACTTGGCCATTCTAACACCTGGATATGTTTATTTGTGAACCATTCCATTGTAGATTTTGCTTTATGTTTTGGATCAGTGTCTTGTTGGAAGACAAATCTCCGTCCCAGTCTCAGGTCTTTTGCAGACTCCATCAGGTTTCCTTCCAGAATGGTCCTGCATTTGGCTCCATCCATCTTCCCATCAATTTGAACCATCTTCCCTGTCCGAGTGGCAAGAAGAAAGCCATTTCTTAAAGATATCCATAAAAAGTGTCGTTTAAAGTTTGCCACAAGCCACCTGGGAGACACACCAAACATGTGGAAGAAGGTGCTCTGGTCAGATGAAACCAAAATCGAACTTTTTGGCAACAATGCAAAACGTTATGTTTGGCGTAAAAGCAACACAGCTCATCACCCTGAACACACCATCCCCACTGTCAAACATGGTGGTGGCAGCATCATGGTTTGGGCCTGCTTTTCTTCAGCAGGGACCGGGAAGATGGTTAAAATTGATGGGAAGATGGATGGAGCCAAATACAGGACCATTCTGGAAGGAAACCTGATGGAGTCTGCAAAAGACCTGAGACTGGGACGGAGATTTGTCTTCCAACAAGACAATGATCCAAAACATAAAGCAAAATCTACAATGGAATGGTTCACAAATAAACATATCCAGGTGTTAGAATGGCTATGTCAAAGTCCAGACCTGAATCCAATCGAGAATCTGTGGAAAGAACTGAAAACTGCTGTTCACAAACGCTCTCCATCCAATCTCACTGAGCTCGAGCTGTTTTGCAAGGCGGAATGGGCAAAAATTTCAGTCTCTTGATGTGCAAAACTGTTAGAGACATACCCCAAGCGACTTACAGCTGTAATCGCAGCAAAAGGTGGCGCTACAAAGTATTAACTTAAGGGGGCTGAATAATTTTGCACGCCCAATTTTTCAGTTTTTTTATTTGTTAAAAAAGTTTGACATATCCAATAAATTTCGTTCCACTTCATGGTTGTGTCCCACTTGTTGTTGATTCTTCACAAAAAATTACAGTTTTATATCTTTATGTTTGAAGCCTGAAATGTGGCAAAAGGTCGCAAAGTTCAAGGGGGCCGAATACTTTCGCAAGGCACTGTAAGTACAGAATTATCAAGACCTCCTGTGTCAGGATACTCAATGGCCTGAGCCACAGGAAATGATATGGAGCTTAGAAATTACCATTTTAAAATATGCTAAAACTTGAAGTAAAGTGAAACTGAAATAAAACTCCATAAAAGAGACAAAATAACTTCCTGCCTAAGGCCATGAGAAACAGTCAGCAGACAGACAGGATGTTCGGTTGCCTCGTTAACAGGCTGCTAATGGAATCAGATCATTAAAGAACAGAAAGAAGCTAAAAGCAGGGTAAGTGTTTGTGTCGCTGATCTCCACCCTGATCCACAGTCTGAGGACACAGTGTGGATGTTTGTCCAACTGGAAACAGCCTCCTGCTCACTCACCTGTTTCCTCACAGGAAAATAACTTTTAGTAATGAAATTGTATACTTTGATAGTACATGTTGAGCAGTAATACTCTAGATCCCTTTGGGAAAAAAACAAACATCTGCCAAATTATGTACAGTAATATAATGCCAAGTAAGACAGTTTGATAGGTTCTCTTCCAAAAACCACCTCCTCATCAGGCAGGTTTCACCAATATGAATTACTGTGAATTTAGGGGGACTTGTACTTATGCTGCTTACTGGTTTGTGTTTCAGGTTTTTATGTGACTCTGGTGGTGAATCGATGGTGGAATCAATTTGTTAACCTGCCCTGGCCTGACAGACTCATGCTCCCTATCTCCAGGTATAGACACTTTTTGAATTGTTGAATTGCCTTAAATCTCCTTCAGATATAAAAGTGCAGTCAGTGAAACATTGCAGTAACAATGTCAACGAACACATGTCCTCTACAGCTACAGTGTCAGTGTTTAATCATTTTCAGATTCACCTGTTGGATAAATGACCCAGCACTCAAGAGTTAAAAGCTGTTGTTCCAAATTTAATCGGAGGACAAATCCCTTGAGACGCATCATCTCATTTTTGAAGGGTTACCTCAACACAAAAACATGGCAACTACGTGACATTTAAACAAAACAAACACATAAATAATAGTAATGATAATAGAATAAAATAATCCAAGCGACACCAACAAGAAAAGGCTACATACATAAGGGCCCCCAGACAGACAAAGCAGCATCATGTCAATGTGTAGACTAAACAACAACATATGGGAGTGATGTTGTGTTTCTTCTTCCTCCAGCTGTGTTAAAGGTAAAGATGAACATGGCCGCCTGCTGCGCCGGACCCTAATGCGTTACACTAACCTGACGGCGCTCCTCATTTTCCGCTCTGTCAGCAATGCTGTGTGCAAGCGATTCCCAACCATGGACCATGTGGTCGAGGCAGGTCAGGGCTTTGATGGTCGTTTGGTCATTTTGTGTCCTTGTGGTCATTTTGTGTGGCTTTGTAATCCTTTTGTTTTGTGGTTGTGTATTGTGTCACTTTCTGGGCTAGTAGTTTTGTCCCTCTCTGTGGTAGTTTTCTGTTTCTTTGCAGTCATTTTTGTAATTTTGTGGTCTTTCTATGTCTCTCTGTAGTGGCATGATTGACTTTGGCAAAGAGCTGTTAACAGTGCCTGTCAGGGCCTGTACCCAAGAGGCCTGATCAGGCATCCATCCGTGCCAATATTGTGCAGCCCAATTACACAGAATGTATAGTATATGTGATGCTAGTGTGTACATGTGTAACAGAACTGTCTTGCTGTGTCAGTATGTCTAAACTGAAGTGATAAAAGTCAGATGGAGTTCAACTCCTTCCCGACTGCCTTGCTACCTTCCTGAAGTCGTTGGCTCTGACCCCAGGGATTGGTTTGTTATCGGCCAGTTAGAGCAGCAGAGCAGAGCAGAGCAGAGCTGGTGATGGTGATGTCCTGTCTGTCCCATCCATGGATGTATGATGAGATATGGTGTTGCCACTCATCCGTTCAGCCAATTTTTCCCAATGCCACTTGTGCTTTGGCAATGAAAAATCCTCATGGGGCCCAAAAAGCATTTTCTCCATAGAGCACAGTGATAAAAGAAAGGCCCATAGAACGGTTGATACTGTGTTCCAGGTGAGCAACTTTTACTCGCAATGGGCGCCATCTGTTTAGTTCTCGTAATACATCCATGGTCCCATCCTGATACTTTGTTAGTGGTTAAAGCCCCCATGTTTGTCTGTCATGTACAAAGCTTATATAAGAACAAAGATTTTGCACCGAGACCAATGTTGGGGATTCAGGACTAGATGTTTTGCACCCATCTAACACACAAATTATGAAATCCTCCACTATACTGTTCCCGGTCTGTTGCAGTGTTTAGCTTTAACCACACAGTGTTGAATAATTGGTCTGTCCATCTGTAGGCTTCATGACTCCAGAGGAGAGGAAGGTGTTTGACAACATCCGCTCTCCTCACCTGAAGTACTGGATCCCTGCAGTCTGGTTCTGCAACCTGGCGGCTAAAGCTCGGCAGGAAGGACGCATCGAAGACAGCATCGAGCTGCACATGCTTCTCAAAGTGAAGCATGGGATTACACTAAATATCTTATATACTGTGTCAAAACATGAATGTCTAGACATTTAGAGGGTGGGGGAATAACAGATTAGTCCAGCAAGAAGGATAAAATCAAACATTTTGAAAAAAATGAACAGCACAGGGATCATATAGGATGATTGCTAACAGCCAAACACACACACCTATGAGTAAAACTACTACCACCCACTACAGACGTATAACTGGGCTGACTGGAGCTGCGCTGATGGGACATTAGTGAAGCCTGGGAGTGTTCCATAGGGTACAAACATATAAAAGGCTCTTAAGCACTCAACACACACAAAGCCAACTGAGAGTCTGATCACTGTTGGTCTCTGGCCACTTAAACCAGACATGTCAGTGATGTGACTCCCAGTTTACTCCCAAAAGGGAGTGAGACTCATTTTCCAATGCTGAGTTACAGAAACCAGGGGTTGGCAGATGGGGCCAAACTAGCAGCCCTGTGACTTCCTGCCTCCTCTCTGTCTTCAGGAGATGAACGCTCTCAGGGCTTGGTGCTTGACTCTCTTCGGCTACAACTGGGTCAGCGTCCCTCTGGTGTACACGCAGGTCTGTCCCAGACGCAGCTCAGCTAATCACATCAGTCATCATCTTCTGTGCAGACACGTCAGAGCTCATGGAGAGATGGAGCTGTTCTCTCTCTGTCTCTCCAGGTCGTCACTCTTGCCGTCTACACTTTCTTCTTCGCTTGTCTGATTGGTCGACAGTTCCTTGACCCCGCCCAGGGCTACCCAGGTCACGATCTCGACCTTTACATCCCTGTCTTCACCCTTCTGCAGTTCTTCTTCTATGCTGGCTGGCTGAAGGTGCACATGTCTTTTAGATAAAAAATATGTTGAGAAAACTTTACTTTACAGGTCCTGTATTTTCCAGCTAATTTCTTGGAAACTTTGCTCATAATTTCCTTAAAATTTGTTCATGTTTAGCTGTTAATTCCTAGAATATTTCTAAAGAAAGGCCAGACTATTTGGCACTAACTGGGGGAACAGGAATTCCACCATTATGCGGCGTGAATGTCAAACAGATTCATATTTATTTAATTTAATTTCTGGCACTTCGTATAAAGAAATAAAGAATGTTTGTCTTTCTAGGAAGCGCATGGAGATTCACTTTCTTTTGCCAACCACAAAATTTCCTATTATTCTCTTAAAAGCTTGAACATGTTTATAAGTGCACACTTATAAACTGCAGCTAACACATTTCCAATTTCATTCAATATTACAACTAAAGTGAGTTGACATTTCTTGGAAATATCTTCGTCAATAAGAGCCAAATACCAGCAAACATTTAGAACATTATGGGCAAAGTTTCCAAGAAATTAGCTGAAAAATATGAGACCTGTAAAATAAAGCCATCAGCAATTTGGTGTGATAGAAAGAGACCAAATGGGGAACAAGGCAGTTTTATTTTATTTCACTGTACCCACACTGAAGAACCAGTACGAATCAGCAGGTATTTCCTTGGCAACTGGTTTATACAACAAAATTATGCCGTAAATCACAGGCTATGTTTTAAAGTGCTAAAAATATTGCTCCAGGAAAATCTGGTGTTGTATTTAAAGACCGCCGATAGCACAGATTCCAGTACAAAGCTGTAAAAGGCTAATAAAACATTTGGAGAATTGAAAAGCTGTCTGTGGTAACAGTGTACGATCTGCAAGGAAGCAAACCTAGCCCTAAAAGCGAGGTGATCTTTAGACATGTGCACAAGAAAACAAGTGACAGTTATTATCCAAAATGCGCAAAATAGTTTGCTCTGCTGAAATGTACTTATCCAACGCATAGCTTTTGTTACTTTGTACCTAAAGATCTGAAAATTCAGCCTGTTCTGTTCAATCCCAGTCTGTTTTCCTCCTGACTGAAACATGTGAGGAAGCCTGTGGTTGTCTTAACCTTACCCTGTTATATTAATATCACACCATTAAAAGTTATTAATAACCAACTTGGTGCAGCTGAAAAGACTTGAGCTTTAAAGGAAACCAGGGTCGAGTCATTAAACTAGAAATGTTCGGTCCTCAAAGAACCCTGAACGTGCTTGTGCTAAGATTTTGATGATGTTATTTTTGTACTTTCTATTCTGTGGTATTTCTTCGGACTAAATCTCTGACATGATTTGTTGTTAGGTAGCAGAGCAGCTGATCAACCCGTTTGGAGAGGACGATGATGACTTTGAAGTTAACTGGGTCATCGACCGGGGCCTTCAGGTCAACAGCCAATCACAGCGCTCAGACAAAGAAACAGAGAAGTCATGTTGTGTTTTGGAGGCTTGTGGAGATGAGTGATCCTGGGAGTAAGACGGGACCTCAGGCTGCTGGGGAGTGTCCTTTTTCCTGCATCAGCCATATTCCAAAAATATGCACAGGAACATTTATCATCTTACCTTTTATTTTTAAGTTACGCAGGGCACATGGCATTATGTGACTCATGTTATTGCTGATCACAACATACCAAGCAAATTAAGGCTCCAATAAACAATAATTTTCAGTATCAATTCATTTGACTACTATTTTTCTCAAAGTAAAGTAGTCAAATGAATTGATACTGAAAATTATTGTTTATTGGAGACTTAA